GTGCGGGAAACCCCTCCGGCGGTCCCCTCAGGGCAGGCGGAACAGATGGTTTCCTGCTTTGCAAGGCGGCCAAAAGCAAAGGGCGCCCGGTTACCCTGGCTTGCATGGCGTCTGGCGTGCCTGCCTGCCTTGTGCCCGGGACACAAGGGGCTTGGGACTTCCGCGTAAACGGGCGTCAGGTTGCGCGGCACGACTCAAAAGCCGAGAGGCAAGCACCACTCGCTGAATGTAGGAGGGCTTACTTCTGAGTAAGCGCACTGAGCCGCCCTTATGTCACAGACACAGACGTGCAGTTCGTTAAAGCTTAGGAGAAACAACACTTGGAAGTCCTTTGAAGGGCGGCCGTCTTTCAATTTCCCATCTCGTTTTCCAAAGTGCTTTTGGTTACCTCAGACTTCACACAGCTAATGCGCCCGTCAGAATTATAACGCAGTCACCCACTATGGATCGCTGCGCTCCAGATACTAGGTTACATACTCCCATCATCCCCCATGAGGCTGACTGAGGCTGCTGAAAGTTGGGGGTCCAAGGGGTAGATATCTGCACGTGCCCCTCTAGGAAGTGCTTAGAAAAGTTGACATTCCATGGTCTTGTTTAGCTTTTATTTCACATTCAATTTGCTTCAACAATTATGAAGTATAAATAGGTGTAATTTTAATACTCATTAAGGATTCTAATTCCTGTCATAGCTAAGGGGAAGACAAGTAAAATGGAGTACATATGTAAACTCCAGTCAGTTGGCAAGTACTGCATAACTAGATCTCTTTCCTGCCTACTCCAAGGAGTATTTATTCATTCTGTCAAGGGGGCAGTATTTCATTACAAAAATGTGTAAACAGGATAAATTTTTTAACATCTGTCATGTAACTACATTTGAAATAGCCTGGATTGGCTAGCAGGAGCAGATATATAATGAAACATTCTATTTTATTGGGAGAAGCATCCAAACCTCTTCCAGCGTGGGACCCCATTTGTGCCCCAAATCCTGTTGCTTAGTGTAAAATTGCACTACACTAGGCCCATTGAATCAATGAGTAAACTTGTCCATATTGATTGAAATGGATCTTTTCTAACGGTGACTTGCTTCAGCAGAGCAAGTCATAGTTAGAGCAGGCCTGTCACTGGAAGGACAGATCCTGAAGCTGAGGCTCCAATACTTTGGCCATCTCCTGAGAAGAGAAGCCTCCCTGGAAAAGACCTTGATGTTGGGAAAGTGTGAGGGCAAGAGCAGAAAGGGACGACAGAGGACAAGATGGTTGGACAGTGTCATCAAAACTACCAACATGAATTTGACCAAACTCCGGGAGGCAGTGGAAAACAGGAGGGCCTGGCATGCTCTGGTCCATGGGGTCATGAAGAGACACGGCTAAACAACAACAGCAACAACAATTTTAAATAAATTGCATGTACAAATGACCTGACTCACTAAATCCCCAGTGTTTCAATAAGCCTACCATAGAGCAATTTACTACACTAATAGCAATTTGGTCACTATGACAGAACAAAGCTAGTTTCCACGTAAAGGCAAATCCTAAGTAATTTCCAACATTCCTAGATTGAGAATGTTTTATATTCTGCATAGGTTAAGCTAGTTCTAGTATAAGCTCAGATGGCTCTCAAGCTACGTTGGATAGTTATTATTGTACTCTGGAAATTTGTAGATATTTATCGCACACAGTAAAACAAAAGTACAATCAAGTGAAAAATAACATATTTCCCCATGCTGTTAGACTCCTTAAAATATGAGAATGCAGCTAAGATTTGTTTCACTGAGAAGGATTTAAAGAAAATCTGCAAAACTGAATTGCTCCTGATACAACTATCAAAGATATGCACGACTTTATTTACTAGTTTTCCAGGAGGCAAGACCATGACATAAAACCTTACACAAGTCTCAGGAAAAGAAATTAAGTCCTTTCAGTCAATCAAGATGTTACATATGCCTGTTTTTGATAAAGCATAGCCCTTAAACTCATCATAGTAATTTTCTTCTTGAATCTGAATAAAAGCCACAATAGACAACTTAACAAAAATAACTATTTAATTTGAAAACACTGTACACAAAGTGCAAATGTAAACCACACAATTATCCACCATTGCTCATGTGGAGTATCTTTCTCAAAAATGATGCTAATACCATGGCCGTAGTCATTGAGAACATTTTAATTATTTTAATGAATTAATGAATTTTAATTATTTTTACTAAGACACTTGAAGAGTGTCAGTTTCTTTGTATTTCAAAGTTCCTGCTGAATATCACTCAAAGCAATGGTAAGTCGTTTAATTTTCTCTTCCATAGCTTTCTTATTACTTGCAGTTTCCTGTAGTAACTGACGCATTTCTTCTTCAACCTGATAAACCTGAAATGAAATTTAGCAATACATTGTTATAAACAATGCACTTCTCAACTTAAAATCTATTCATTGTTAATTTCTTACTGATTTATATTATGCCATTTTCATTTCTTCTAAAGATGTTACAGAAAAGTAGGCAAAGGTATGAAATCAACTTCAAAGTTCACAGTAGTGACATTATTCAGTCACTTTCTAGAAATTATACATACTGTAAAATGTAACTGACTTGACACATGACAGATCTTAATGCCATTAAAGAAAGTTTATTACTTGAGCTCAAAAAAGTAGCAGGAGCTAAAAATAATAGAATAAACAATGCCTTAAGTGGAATTTTCAATTAATTTAACCCTCCAAAGCTGTTTTAAAACATAGAACAGTAGATGCATTCATTTCACAAATATTTTTCTCCAGCTTCCACAAATCATCTGTAAGACTTCTTTTGAAAATCTACTCTGCAACCTTAGATGCATTACTGAGAACCTTTACTATCTGTTTCCCCCAGATATCTGGTGCAAAGATGGAACTATTGGTAAGGCTTCTCCAGCCAGCCTTACATCCATGCAAACAATACTAGGGACAGAAAATAAACCACAGATAATTTGCAACTTAACCGCATGACTGTGAATCCAGCCTAGAATTGAATATTAGTGTGCAGATTTGCCAGAAACTCCCTCTTTTCTCCCTCTGATGTAACAATATCAGACAGTGGGCCTTTGCATGCTGCACCTGCAGATTGTTCTTCTGAGGCAGCACCAGTATTTATTAATATTTATTTATATTATTTGTATGTCACCTTTCTCCCCACAGGAGACTCAAGATGGCTCACAACAAATGAGTAATTGAGAGATGTTGCCAGTAAATGAAATCCCTTAACAGATTATTTACTTAACAAGTAAAGAAATGAATGGCACAGCATCGTACATCACCTTTTCATTTGCTTTCACAATTTCTTGTTGCTTTTCATTTGCTAGCCGAACCAATTCCGCTTGATGTGCCGCTAATGTTGATTCCAGTTGCCTCCGGAAAGCATCATCCATAGAATGTAGCTTTTCTGTGAGTATCCTAAATACAAGTTGGCACCTTCTCTTGAAAATATCATAGCATTGTAACATCACAAATCATTAGGATGGCGTCATCAAGTGACACCAAACATCGTCCATCTATCAGTAGTGAAAAGGCTCTCCCTTCCCATCATAGCCTCTGAAATTTTCTTGAAGACAAGGAGACTCAGACTAGGAGACTTTCAAGAACAATTTTGTGGTGCAGGGCAGCAAGGGAAGATCACTTGCATAATATGGGCTAAAATCCTGTTGCTTAGCATAGTAAATTGCACTAAAGGAGGCCCACTAACTAAGTGGAGATTGAATCAGCAAGGATTTAATGAGTCAACACTTCCATAAATTCCACTGATTCACATTGACCTAATCTCGTTGCAATTTAGGCAAAATCTAAAGAAACAAAACAAGACAACAACATATGTCACCTTGAAGACTTAACTTTTAATGTAAACTTTTGGGACATGTCCAATTCATCAAACAGAACCAAATGTGAATGAAATACTGTAGCAGTTTCACTAGTTGCAACTTAGTTTAACATAGTAAACTATGTTACAGTAGGCCCATTTGAATCAATAGAACTTATGGAGGAATTGATTCATTAAATCCCGACTGATTCAACAGCCCTTTCTAGTGTGATTTACTATGCTAAGCAAAGGGTTAGCCACGTGGCACAAACAAAATAAAATATAAATGCAAAAATAGGCAATACTTTTATAGACCATTAAAAAGTCATCATACAATTCACAAGCTTTTGTGGATTAAAACAACACTTCATCAGGTTTCTACCAGTGTGAAGAATGTAAAGTCCAAATGTACATGGCATAATAGATTTTGCCAGACTATTTGCTCTTTCATGTAAAGTCCAAAAAGTTCTTGGCAAGTTGGAAATTGCCAGAAATGTCTCTCTTAGATGTAAATCTGGAGACTGGTTGCTGTTTTATGGTTACTGCTTTGGCATTTGTGGGTTGAGTATAACAATCCAGTTCTCCAAACAAAGAAGCACTGGCCATATGTGTACATCCACCTCTCATATTCATGGCATTTCTTTGAAATGTACACGATTCTGCTTAGCCTGGGGGAGGGTTTGACACAGAAAACGTGAGTCCTCCATCTGAGACTTGGGGTGATAATTTCATAAACTCATTAGGTATAGCCAACTGGAGTCCGATTAAGGCCAAAATGATATTACCTAAACATCAAGACACACACAGATCTCACCTTGCTCACTGTTAAGTACAGTACTTGTCAATTACAGTACTAGTCCATAAATCACAACTTACAAATATTTCTTAGCAATGCCAAAAGGAAATTTTTCTCTAAGACACATTTTGTTATAGAACATCACATTAGAAAAGACAACAGCCAATATCCTGTTCAATTTTCCATGTGTATAACTTCAAATGTGAAGTAGCTGCAGTAAGGTAGAGAAATCCAGTTTCCTACTTGGATGTTTGTGCAGCCATTTGACCAGGCAGGCAACCAAATCACTCTATATTATCATAGGCACTTTGCATAGCTATTTGCTGTGCATATTGGCCAATATATTTACACACATTTCTCACTAGCACTTGGGAAAAATGCTATGAGGAAAAGAACAAATACGTTACCATGCTTTTCTAGAGAAAAAAGAGATTAGGACTACCAGAATTCATTTTGAGTAACAAATTTAACACAACAATATCCTGAGTATAAACTGACAATACTACTTACTGTCTCCCCGCTTTAAAAAACTAAGTGCAGAGTTCTACAGGGTTCCCCCCACCCACTCAAATTAAATTTTATAAAAATGGTGACAAAACATACACTGAATGGTATTTGTTAGAATGTATAAAGATGTCATACAGCAAAATTGTTTTATCAGACTCTTTTTGAGTTTCCTACTTATATACCTAAAAGAATATGTAGAATACTTAATACAACCTGAAAAGAGACAAAATGTTCTCCAACCATCCTGGAAAACACTGTTCTATAAGATCTCATATGGAAAAAATAGATTCCACAATCTCATCATCATGAATGTAATACACACTGACACAATCAGGAAGACATAAATACTGACCAAGTTCACATTGTAATAGATTAAAAATACTGGTTTTATGAACACACCATGGAAGCAAGCTACTGCCTTCGCTTCCATTTTTCCCCCCACATCTTACAAGCAAACAAAAACAAAGCAGGCAAGGAAAGACCATGATCTGACAAGCCTGTACTCTTGACCCACCATTATGTACAAAGATGCAAATGCCGTCAGTATATTCACTAACCTCTGAGCCTGAAGACTTTTATCTCTTTCTTCAATCAGTTGCTTCTCTTTGACATCAAAATTTTCTTTCATTTGTTTCACCTGCACTTCCAGCTTGGTCAACAATCCCCCTTTATCTTGCCACTTCTTATTCAGTGCACTGAAATATAATGAATATATTTAGTGACCTCAAATACTTATAGCAGTGTTTCCCAACCTGGGGGGCATGGGTCACCTTATATATGTTTCCCTTGTTAAATAATTTCTTCCTTAACCCTTCCAAGCCAGATATTAAAGTTAGTGTGTATGTATGAAAAACAGGCCCTTTGAGGGAGAAAGAAGCCTCTATTTTCTGAGAAAGGACTTTACCCCATTAAAAATGCCTTTTTATGCAAACGTAGTATTGGTGGTGTCACAGGTTACTTGGCTATTAGAAAAGGGGGTCGAAACTCGAAAAAGGTTGGGAACCACTGCCTTATAGTATAACAATGGCACAGGAATAATATCCTCTTTTGTTTGTTAAATAGATATATCTCAGCTTTTCTCCAAACAGTACTCAAGCACTAGAGTGGGAAGAAAGCTTAATTGTACTTCCTCTCCTCATCATGCCTGAATATGGTCCGTTATGTTTCAACATGTATAGAAGACAACAGGTGTTTTAAGCACCTGTAAGACTTCTTGACAGCTTCAAGCTCTGCATCTTTCTCTTGAAACTGTTGTTTGAGTTCCTCTTTTCTCTCATTTTGCCTTTCTAAATTTTCCATCAGGTCATCTAGCTGTGCCTCTTTTTCCTCTAGCTGAACTTGAAGTCTCTTTTGGATTTCAGAACTTTCTTCGCGATGCCTTCTTATTTGCTCATCTCGTTCCTGTAAGGACTTGAAAGCAAATTGTGTCATTAGTACATCTGCACAGGAATGCAGTTACAAGTTCTTAACATATTGGCTTTTGTAATTCAATCTTTGTTGGAATAACAGACAAAAAAAAGCCATTGTGGTATAGTGCTAGAAGACAAAATATAAATCTCCCAAATGCTGTTCTAATTATTTACTTACTATGTGTAATACTTAAGCCTAGAACCTGTTCCTTCAATTTCTTGTGGGAAAGTGCCATGGCAGCTAAAAACACATATTTTAATTATTTTCGTGGAAGAAAACTATAACCTGCTTTCTTTATCCACAACATAAACATAATCAATATAATACCCCACAAGTTAGTTAGAACCAGCATTTTTCTCATTAGTGGTTTCCTTGCAGCTGAGGCACACTCTTCCTTTCTATCACAGCTGTTATTCTGCACAAAAGGTACAGATCCATATTTTTATGTTAGTGAAGTTCCAACAATATCCACAAATGTTTGCAAGCAATCTACCTCATTTCACCAGGTGGCCAGACTTAATGGCTTCATTCAGTCAAGGGTGACCACTTTTCCCTTTTGCATTGAAAGACGTTTGCAAAATGTGTTCTTGATGGTGACTTTGAGGGCCCAGTATCACTGAGGTACTTTGCAAAATATTTGTACAATGCAACAGAAGAACTTTTAGTCAAAAGCTAACATGAGCCTTTAAGGAGGGACAGCATGGGAAAAAGCACCCTTACTTCTTTTAACTTTCTGATTGTTTCTGTTTGATCCTCTACTATCTTAGACTTGATCTTCAGTGCATCACTGCTGCGCTCATTTTGTTTTTTCATAGCTTCATTCTCACTGGTAAGAACTTCTATTCTGCCTTCCAATTTTCCTCGATCTTGAGCAAGAGAAGCTCCTGATGAAAACAAACAAACCAAGAATACAAAGTCAATCTTGCACATTTAGGGCTGCAAACTGTGAAGCTAGTCTGTCAGGGTGAGAGACACCATAAAGAAACTAAAAGCACCATCCTCTCTTTCATCTTCCAAATTTTCTTGGAAGTTTTCATGCAGCTTGTGGACAAACAACTAGATTCTTTCCATCAACTCAATCCATTCCTGCCTGAGCAGAAGCTATCAAAGGCTAGTCACTCACTCACTCTGCAGCTGGTAGAAGACAGAGATACTTTTAAAAACACGTTTTCATACAAGTTGCTACATTTATTTAAAGACTATTTAGCATAAAAACAGAAATTGCATGCGCAGAATCAGCTTTTTAGGTATCTGGCTATGGAGCCGGAGGTTAAGAGTACAATTCTCCACTCTGCCTCCTTGATAGGAGCTGGACTCAGTGATCCATAGGTTCCCCTCCAACTCTGCAATTCTAAGATTACCTTGTCAACAAACCTGTATTTTATTCATTAATAGCATTTTATCCACAAGTAACATTTCTGTTCATCACTACCATTTTTGAGATACATTTTTGGAAACTCCTGGTATAGGATGAGCACTGATGCACATTCAGAAATCAAACAAGCAATTATATAAAATCTCTTGCTCCAAGTACAGAAGGGCTAAATTGAGTCTGCATGCCTCTAATTATCTAAATACCGCCAAAGATGGTTGGGGGTTTGCTGGCAATGTGGATCCCTATACCACCAGAAGAAGACAGATGGCTGCATTGTTATAAAGACTTAGCAAAGAAGGATGTTTCAGTTCTGTTCTTTATCTACATCCTGCCAGAGCTAGAATAGAAGATGCTGAATAGAAGATACCCTGTTGTGCTAGCTCCTGGCTCCACAGTTTCCTTTCTGCTCTTAATCCATCAATTAGAGACTCTTGGGCTGTCATCTGTAAAATAAGTTTTGATTTTTCTTGCTTAAGAAGCTCAAGTTGAATGGTCTTCTCTTTATCGTCCTCCACCATATTTTCAAGCATTCGGATTTGACTCTTTAGGGGGAAAAACAAAACAAACGAAGCTAGTCTCTCCGAAGGGTACTCCGCACATCCCTCACACTTTAATATGCTATACAGATATTGTGAAGTTGTCTTTAGTAGTGATTGGCTGAGCTGCCCTGGTGTCACAGAAGGTTGGGGCTGATGTCAGTCAATTGCAGCTCTCATCAGCCCTAGCCAGAATAATCATTTGTGAGGTACAGTGCAAACGGCAACCTTGTAACATCTAGAGGGTTACAAGTTGTCCACCTTGATCTAATGGCTGAAAACCTGTTGCTTAGTGTAGGAAGCTGCGCCACAGCAGGCCCTCTGAATCAGTGGGGATTCAGTGAGTCACTCCTCTGCTAGTTCCACTGATCAAAATGGATCTATTCTAGTTGCAACTTACTGTGCTAAAGTTCTGCCAGTTCCACTGATCAAAATGGATCTAGTTGCAACTTACTGTGCTAAAGTAAGCCACAACTAGAGTGGGCCCATTGAGCCAATGGAACTTACAGAGGAACTGACTCATCAAAATCCCCAATGATTCAATGGGTCTATTCTAGTGCAACTTACACCAAGCAATAGGATTTCAGCCAATGATTTCCACATGGCATGAGAACAGGGCCAGAGAATTGAATGGTACATGAAATATTAAGCATTAGATAGTTAAGAGAGCACTCTATCCTTTTTCCTGAGAATTATTTAATACTATATAGAATCAGTTTTCAATAGCCCAAATTATCTTGTGTTTACACACTGCTGTTTGCAAAGAAGCACACACTGTATATGCTGTGATTCCCGTAGCACAGCGGTGTAACCTGTGGACCTTCTTAGGTTTTAAGATTACAACTCTCAGTGTCTCTCACTACTGAGTCTGATGGCCAAGTCTGATCACAGTTAAGTTCAACATCTGGAGGCCACAATTTGCGCTCTCTACCTACACAATTTTTTAAGAAGTGCAGTACTGAGCAAGTTTATGAAACAGACCATAAAAGTTTGAAGCTTCATGCTATGGAATGCTTCCATGCAGATATAACTCTTCATGCAAGCCTCTTCCTGTATGTTAATACAAAGTGCAGCACGAAGAAGAAAATATAGCTAATATATCATTATAAGGATTATATTATACATAATAAAAGATCATATATAATACAGAAGTCTAAAATTCATACTTTCAAATTGTAAGTTGTTTCTTGCTTTGATTTAACTAATTCTGTGATCTTAGCTTTTTGTTCTTTCACCATGGATGTCAGCTCTTGGATCAGAGTAGCCGACTGCTTTTCTTTTTGCTGGGACTGAACAAGAGCATTCTTACGCTCAATTAGCTCTGCTGAAACCTCATCAAAAGCTTCTTTAACCTATTTCAGTATGGGGAAAAACAGATACAAAATATTATTGTTAAGTGTGGTTTCCTCTAGATAACAACTGTTGTGTCACAGTCTGATGAATAGTAGGGGATTAATTTGATACATAATTTAAAAAATGTTAATGTACATCAACATGGATGTTCATCTCAAAAGTTACCAAACATCTCAAAGTGCCTAAAAACAGATATTCTAAAAAAAATGTAGTTTTTTTATCTTGCGTTTCAGTTGCAACAAGTCTCTTTTAAAAAAAAAAAATTAATCTGCTTAAAATTAGATTGAATTTAATGCAAACACAGAATCTCTTAGAAGTGGATTTACAGCCTTCCTTTGGACGGCTGTTTTTCTTGGTAATGAAAATAACTATGGGAAGAAAATATCATCAGATAATAAACATATATAAAAACTAGAGGTGAACTATACAAGCACTGTATGTTTACTGAAAATGCTGTAAAACAAGGTTCCTTCACTGAAATGGAGGTGTGGTGTCATTGGGAAGCAGCTGGAATTAGAATTCCTTCAACTACTAAATCTGCTCTTCATAGTAATAGGTTTATTTCTAAATACAGAAACACTGTTTTGTTCATATAGAATAGTTTTTCAAACTGAAGAAAGTTTAAGAATTGAAAAAGCAAGGAGATATGTTTCTAAAAGCATGGGATCAAGAGGGATAAAAATCAGCAATTTTAAAAATTTGGGGAAATGGTATACTCTTTATGTATTGGATTTGTTCGTTTATTTCATTTATATCCCTGACTTTCTCCAGTAAGCTCAAAGCAGCATACATGGCTGTCCTCTTCCCCATACAGTGAGTTTCATGTGCAAGTGGTGGTTTGAATTCCAGTTTCCTGAAATGTATACTGGAAGTTGAACCTTACAGAAAATACACAGCAATCCTAACACTGTAACATTTCTTAACCCATACAAAAGTAGAGGGGAAACAGGATTCATCTCCCTTCCAGTTACTGTATTATTTCTCTCCCAATGCAGAATAATTAAGATGAAGTGTGATGATTATATACCACCCCACAGTATTTAAAGCAATCTCTGGGTGTTTTGCTTTTTAAAAAAAATTCAGGCTACACATTCCACCCACACCCCCACGAGCTGGGTACTCATTTTATCAATTTTGGAAAGATGGAAGCCTGAATCAACCTTGAGCTGGCTGTCAGAATCCACACAGTTCACAGTCTCTAATGCCATGAAAGTGAGAGGTGAAGAAAAATGTTCAAATCTGTCCTTCTCCTCCTCAACTGGACTTTCAACCTATCATTTGGCCTCTGGCATATTGTCACAGGGACCACCAAAGTACTACAGCTTTAGCGTTGCTTTATAATACCTATAATAAAATCTAATTCTTAAGGTTTTATTAATTGTGTCATATAATTCTAAATTAGCTTGACAGGCATTGGCTGAAAGCCTGTTAGAAGAGCTCAGCCAAATTTTAACTTCCCATATATCCCTCCCTGGTAAACAAAGTTTGTAGTTGTTATATTCTGATATAAAAATGCTCAACACATTTTGGCACACAGCCTTATTCAGGAGTATGTATAAAAAGAAAAATAAACTATTTATAAACAACAAGCTCAGGACAACCATAACTGTCTGTAACTATTGCTCATTTTTGTATTCATACAGACAGTATTGTATCAATGACTATACATTCAGTTTCTTCATATGGATTCTTCACAACATGATCTTTATGCTTCTAGTAGTAACAGTCTACCAATATGAATTTATAGCATACATGATTAGAAATGGGCATGAACCTCAATTTGGAGGTTCGTGCCACACATTTCCCCCCCCCCGGATCCCCTACTCACCAGCCAGCATGCGCTCCTCTACTCCTCTTCAGCTGTTCCACCAGTCTTCAGCAGGAGCTTGGGCTTCCCTCCCCTGCCTCCTTGGCTAATCACACACTCCAACAAGGAGGCAGGATAGGCAAACCCATGCTCCTCCCAAAGAGGAGCGTGCTCCGACTGGTGAGTGGGTCACTGGCCGGGAGGCAGGGTAAGGGAATGTGTGGCACCTGTGGTGCCACGTGTACAAACCAGCACAAACCTCCAAACTGAGGTTCATGCTCATCTCCATATGTGGCACATTTATAACAACCTTGGTATGCATCATGTATATTGTTATAAATTCCTATTGACAGACTATTACAACTAGAAGCAGCCCCTGAGTCTTTGGAAGGTGTTCACTTCTATCCTGAACTTTGCCAGGTTCATTCAGCCCATGTTAACAATGGTATTGTGGTTTTTCATCCCCTTCTCCCGGCCTCACAATTTTTTCTTTGTTTCACACTTAAAACATTCGCTGGTGCTCTGTGCCAACAATTCTGGGTAAGGAGGTTGTATACATGCCTCCCTCCTAAGACAGAAACTCTGGGTCCAATGGGTCTCCACCCTACCCCAACTGTTCCTGGCACATCCCCTTGTCCCTATCACCTGGAGACCCATGGTGATAGGGACATCACTAGTCTAAATCAACACTTCCCCATTAACTCATTAAGTAACCTCAACTTTCAGACATGGATCACAATTTCTAGCTAAAAAGGTTACAAAAGCCAGAGTTCCTACAATTTCTCTCCACATTCATTCTCCCTTTCTTACCTCCGCGAATCTTTTGGCTTCTATAGTTAAAGCAATACGAAACTCATCTTCTAGGTCCTTGTAACTTTGATTCATCTGCTCAATTTTCTCCTTCAGTTCTTTAATATGGTTCTCCTGCCTCTGTTGCTCCCTAGCAACTTCTTTTGACAGAGCTTCTTGGAATTCTGAGCCATTTAACGTAACACGAGTTTCGAGTTCTTTTCTGGAACGACATGCCATGCAGGCAAGGATCAAAATACACTGTGAAGTGTATTAGTCGTTAAACAGAATTCTCTCTGTACAGCTAAGACATCCACAAGGAGCGCTGCAGGACAAACAGCATTTGTGTTCTCAAATCAGTTCTTGTATCACTGGGAAGACAAATATTTCTGCTCAACAGGATTTTCTCCCTACTTTTCCCAAAGAGTGTCTACTATCCTCTGAAAAGCCATATCTGCTAATTAAATTTGTAATCTTCTTAAAAACAACTGATGTCCTGATTTGTTGGGACAAGTTAAGGAATTTCTGATGTTTTCTGACGCATCTATCAGAAAGCACATACCTGTGTTCTCGCTCTCTCAGTGTAAGAAGTTCATGGACTTGTTCCATCTTCTGTTTCTGCTGCCGAAGAGATATTCGAAGTAACTGCACTTCCCTCTCAGCAGCTGAAGCTTTAAGTTCTGCAGCCTGAATCTGTTTCATCTGCGCAATGTTGCAAATAAAGTAAGGGAAACACAATCACAGATGCTAAGATTTTGTACTATAAGCAGAATTTGAAAGTTATCTATTTTCCCCTCATCTGTTATGAAAAAACAACTGATGCTCATCATTCTAGTTAGCAGTACATAACAAAATACTGCCAGATGCTATAAAGAATGTCAAGAGGAATTCATGCTTTGGAAATCTAAGTTTACAACAGGACACTAAAATCTTATATAATCTCCCCTCCCGTGTGAGTATGTGCACGTGTGGTATAATTTTTCTCCATCTTTCTCAAAATATCTCTTTTTTGCTAAAACACATTCAGCAGCCATGTTCAACTTAAAGAATTCCTATTATCCTCTCCCGTTCTGGAAATGTGAAGGAAAGACTGCTTAGGGTCATGGCCCCAACATGAATGACTTTAAAATGGGGTGAAACAAATTCATGGAGGAAAAAGTTACTGATACTAGATACAATAACTATGCACAACTCTCAGTATCACAGGCAGTATTCCTCTCAGTACCACTATGCTGGAAAACACAAACAGGATGGCACTCATACCCCACAAACTTCTCATAGACATCTGGTTGCCCACACGAAGAAGAGAATGCTGAACTAGAAAACCTCTAAGCCTGAATCCATCATAGTTCTTAAGACTACTGAGGTTTTTGCTCCAATAATAAAAATACAGATACATACATAAGGAGACTTATCCCCAAATACACTCCACAAATCTAGTACTTACAGCTATGCAAGGAATAAGGCTATTCTATCAGGTCAAGTCTAGCTTTGACCAATTCTGCAGGATGAACTGCATTTGCCCAATCTCTCCTTTATAAATAAACATTATTTCTCCCGTCCCCTTCCCGTATCAGAATCAAAAACAATACCTCCGAGGGTAAGTTAATTACTAAGTAAAGATACCAGTTTACAACAGGACACTAAAAACTTAAATAATCTCCCCTCCCGTGTGAGTGTGTGCACGTGTTGTATAATTTTTCTCCATCTTTCTCAAAACACCTCTTTTTGCTAAAACTCATCCAGCAGCCATGATCAACTTTAAAGAATTCCTATTATCCCCTCCCATTCTGGAAATGCGAAGGAAAGACTGCTTAGGATCACAGTGAAAATAATGGATTCATTACGATGGCCCCAACATGAATGACTTTAAAATGGGGTGAAAAAAATTCATGGAGGAAAAAGTTACTGACACTAGATACAATGAGTATGCACAACCCTCAGTATCACAGGCAATATTCCTCTCAGTACCAGTATGCTGGAAAACACAAGCAGGATGGCACTCATGCCCCACAAACTTCTCATAGACATCTGGTTGCCCACGCGAAAAAGAGAATGCTGAACTAGAAAACCTCTAAGCCTGGATCCATCATAGTTCTTAAGACTACTGAGGTTTTTGTTCCAATAATAAAAATACAGATACAGTAGTGCCTCGCTTAGTGATTGCCTCGTTGGAGCGATCTTGCGCTCCGTTTAGCGGTTTCCTATGGGGAAATTTTGCATAGCGATGTTCGGTACCTTGCCTCGCTTAGCAATGACAGTTTAGGTCCCCCTGTTTCGCTTAGCGATGTACGTTTTCGCTATTTTAAGTGTGTCTTAAAATGTTCAAAAACTGTTTTAAATGCTTGGAATCGTTAGTGCACCTTGTAAAACCTTTGCAAACTTAATTTGACTTTGTTCTTCACTCTGGGTTGGTTGTTGTTGTTGTTGTTGGTCCATCAAAATCCAGCAATGAATTGAATTAGTAGTTTAATAACTGAACAGTAGAATTAAAACCTAAGTTTGGATTAGGCATTTTGAGAAAGGCAAAGTTCTCAAAGTTCAGGAGCCAGAACTGTAAATAGCTAACTGAAAAGTTTATTCATATGCTTCCAATTACTAGAGACAAATATTGCCAGATGGTGGCAATTGAGTTTTGCAGTTTCAGCATTTCTATGTATGGCTCAGCAAGACAACTGCTCCCTCAAGCTCTGTGCTATCTGACGTAATCTACAGTGACTCTCCAGAGTCTTGTACTTCGTCTATTAACTGAAAAATATGGAAGTGAAGTAAACAAAAATGTTCATTCCATCTTTTAAAAATACCAGTTGAATATGCTGGTTCTTTACCTATCTGTAGTATATATGGCCATACTTTGAATATCCTTTTCTTCTTTTGCTTGGCCTTGCAGCTCCTTGAGATTTTCTCTTGCTTTCTTTTCAGCTTGTTCAGCCTTCCATCTCTTTTCTCTCTCCTGATCTAGTTCCTGAATTAGCGCCTAAAAAAGAAAAAGAGAGAGACATCATATTGATGGTGAAACTGATATTAGTTAGGTAGCACAATAGAACAAGTTGTATGGCCACTGTCCTGCAACTACAGGCTGCTAAACCAGTGGAAGCGTTTTAAAACTGGGATGCCAGATAGTGAGGTACCAAGATGGCTCTCCACTTAGCAACTAATAGATCTTAATAAGATTTCATAAAGAAAAAAATCAGCAGTGTTGCTTTTTCTCACCAAGCCAAGTGGTAGCAAGTCAAAATCTGAAAATATGAAAATACCCATGTAAGTATTACAAGCCAGATATTCAGTGATTACTTCGGCTACAACAAGAATCAACTCCTGTATATGGGTTAAATATGTAATTAAAGGCTGAAGGACTTGATGTATCTAAAATAAGCACTAAAATCTATAGATGCACATCTGCAGATCTTACAGTTATAGCTGAAAGCCTCACTACATTATTGGATCTATCTGCAAGAAGTCATGAGGACAGCTGACTGACATAAAATATTCATAATAGCTTGGAAGGAAGGAAAGAAGGAAGGGCAGAAATCTTTTTGTTAAAATATAGAACTGAAATCCAGCAGATCTTTACAGCAGAAGTGAGTCAAATAACTTGCAGCCTTCTCCTTGACATGAAACAGAGGACATTAGGTGGTTCCCCTAGCCCTAATCCAAAGGTCCCCATAGCTATCCAGAGGACTCATGAGAAACTGGTGAAATTTCCTGCTTGTACCAACAGGAGAGGAACTTGAATCAGGGCATGCTGTCACAAGCAGGAGCAAACTCATGCAGTAGCCAAGGTTACTGGAAGTCTAAATCTTTTCATCTTAAGTTTAAATAAGTAATAGGATAACTTCTAAAACCAAACCTTGTATTAGAACCGTTTTTAGTGGTATGTAAAAGACACATTAGTTCATTACTATGTGACATCAAAACATTAAAATACACATACTCTATAGGTGGACTCTTCTGGAGTATCAAGATCCAGAGTTTTTAGTTTTTTCATTTCACTTTTCTGCCCATCTAGTTTTTTCGGTGATTTCCCAACTATCTCCAAGCTTGGTATTTCTGAGGATGGACTTGAATTGTCTTCCTTTTGGATCTGAGATCTTTGATTTTTTGACTTTATGCAAGTCTGCTCTTCTCCCCTAAAATGACACAGAAATTGAGTGCACATAAACAGGAGGAAGGTCACATCAATATTTTGGATTAAAGCTATAAAACAGATAACATTTAAAGTACATCGTAATAGATTTTAAAAAATAGACTTGGTGTAGTATATATGCTGCTCCTAATATTGCCATATTTTTGCAGCTCTGGTGGTGTTATTTAAGAAATCTGCAGCTGATCATAGTTTTTATAAAATTCCACAGCATTGTTTGCAATGCCCCAATGACTGTTAGGACCACTGGAATATGTTTCATTTATTTCTATTGCCAGGTCTCTGATTTTGTTATTTTTTCCAATTTGTTATCTTCAACTCTGGCACCCCCTGGAATTAAATGGTCAATTATCAAGACTTTTTTTTTCATTCTGTTACTGTTACGTCTGCTGTATTATGTTTAAGGTATCTATCCACTTGAGCAGCTCTGGTGGTGTTATTTAAGAGATCTGCAGCTGATCATAATTTTTATAAAATTCCACAGCATTGTTCCCAATGCCCCAATGACTGTTAGGACCACTGGAATATGTTTCATTTATTTCTATTGCCAGGTCTCTGATTTTGTTATTTTTTCCAATTTGTTATCTTCAACTCTGGCACCCCCTGGAATTAAATGGTCAATTATCAAGACTTTTTTTTTCATTCTGTTACTGTTACGTCTGCTGTATTATGTTTAAGGTATCTATCCACTTGAATCCGAAAGTCCCGCAAGATCTTAATTCTACCCAATATTCCCACAGATTCTTGAATGATAGCAGATTATTATTATTTTTAACATAATGACCAGTGTATTAATCTTGCACCTCTATCATGTCTGGCTTTGTAGTCTGTCTGTGAAATCTCTGGTCATTTACAGATGATGTATGACACCGTTAAGATCTTAATTCTACCCGATATTCCCACAGATTCTTGAATATTAGCAGATTATTATTATTTTTAACATAATGACCAGTGTATTAATCTTGCACCTCTATCATGTCTGGCTTTGTAGTCTGTCTGTGAAATCTCTGGTCATTTACAGATGATGTATGACACCGTTTCATCTTTTACTTTGCAGAATCAACATCTGTGTAATTTTGTTACACTAATTCCTTGAATTTTAGCTTCATGACACTAGTTTGGAGTTCTAGTGCAGCAAAAATCAAGCTTTTGGATTCTTTTTTGATGGTCCCCAATTTCAGCCATGGCCGAGTTATTACGTTGTCCATCAATATACTTAGATATTGCTCATGTAGTGGTTTATTTTTCCAGCTATTTAATTTATCTTCAAATTACTGTTTCTTATATTCAACCTTAGTTGTTGTTGCTGTTTTGGTTATTCTTATTATTACTATCATATATGGCAATTTTGGGACGTGGTGTCGCTGCGAGTTAAACCGCAGAAGCCTCTGTGCTGTAAGGTCAGAAGACCAGCAGTCGCAAGATCAAATCCACACAATGGAGTGAGCTCCCGTCGCTTCTCCCAGCTCTTGCCAACCTAGCAGTTTGAAAGCATGCAAATGCGAGTAGATAAATAGGTACCACCTCGGTGGGAAGGTAATGGCGTTCCATGTCTAGTCGCACTGGCCACATGACCACAGAAACTGTTTACGGACAAACGCTGGCTCTACAGCTTGGAAACGGGGATGAGCACCGCCTCCTAGAGTTGGGCACGACTGGACTAAATGTCAAGGGGAAACTAACCTATGGCAATTTTAAGATGTTCCAATGGACAATCTGATTGTTAAATATAGTACATAAAAGGCAGTTCTCTGAAAGTAGCGGTCAGGCTCCCGGCGCTTTTCCTTCATCGTTATCACAATGTACATTTTATTGTACTTTTAACAACCAGTTATTTTCCAATTGAACTAGAAATTAGATATACAAAAGACTTAGATAGCTGTCTTGAATGTGCCAATTAGCTTTGCAGTCCATTCCTAACTGTATTTACATTTTAACAACCATGCTAAGCAAGACAAGCTTGCTTAGGGCTGGCTCTCAATTCATGGGGTTGACTACAATGGCTATTTATCCTACAGCCTGCATTTGATTTGGTATAGATAAAAATGATTTTTTTTAATGGTGACTACATGATTTAAAGCTTAGTGCAGCGAAACCCTGCAGTTTTTCATTGGGCAATTGCCTCTCATTGTTCAGTTTGCTATGATTTGGCTGACATTGCTTTTCTCCACTTTCTGGCATGTGCGACTGACTGATCCAGTGCAAAAGCATGGTTGTCGCTAAGTGCACTATTACATCAGGTCACTCAACTGAGTGTATGTCCTCTCCTCTCCTCCAAACAGTTTTTCGTGTTTTTTTAAAATTATGCTTGCCAAGATAGCACCATGCCAGACAAGTGTTGTCACTTGAAAAAAAAATTAAATTATAAAAGAGGAGGAAGAGAAGGTGCAGTCCCAGTAGAAAGTGCCAATCAGCAAATATGGCTCTTTTCTTTACAGCTTTCTGCTCCTGTGGAGTCCAGCAAGGTACAGACAGCTGCAATGATTTCAACCACGGAAACTAGCAGGGACCCTGTTTGAAAAAAAATTGAATCAGACAAAGTTTTCCCTGTATAGTTGCACCCTAAGTGATATCACAGGTACCAATTAGATGTACAGTACATTAGACGTCTAATTGGTAGCTGTGATATCACAAGTCTACACATGTTTACTCAAAATTAGGTCCCACTCAGTTCTATAAGATTTATTTCAAGTTAAGTGAATATATGACTCCATGACAAGATGCAAATACTAAATTGAAATTACCTTTCCGAGATCTTGCTTCTCTGAGTACGGCTCCTGGCAGATAAAACTGCTTTCCGATAATTAGGGAGCTTGCTTTTTTTAGCTATTTTTCTGTTCTCTTTTCCACTTTCACCATCACTCTCTGAAGTCGGATCTGTATCTCTTTTTGCTTTGTGAACATTCAGGGTGACACCAGCTTTTGAAGAATGAGACACCTGAAAAGAAAAGGATTTTCAGAACTCATTTTGGATCCTATTTGAGCCTCAGACTCCTCAATTTTAAAAAGAAAAGTCTATGGCCAGACAACCTGATTACCCTAGAAGCCACTTACAGGAGGATCATCTGTGTAAATATATTAATTTCAAAAGAAAGAAGAATTATTCTTTTTCAGAGAAAGAAAGAAGTCATTACTTCATAAAGAAGCAACTAGGTAAGAAACTCTTACTGCTCAGATTCACAATGTATTCAGACTGGCCGTGGTGGCCAGATATATTGGAACCACAAAACGAAGCATCCACACCAGAATCAAAGAACATGAGAGATGCTGTAGAATAAAATAATCAGAAAAATCTACTGTAGCTGATCATGACCTAAAACAAACTGGACATGAAATTCTATTTCAAAATAATGAAATACTGGACAACACCAGAAATCGTTATGTCAGACTGCACAGGGAAGCCATTGAAATCCATAAGCACCAGAAAAACTTCAATAAAAAAAGAGGAAAATGTGAAGCTCAACAAAACTTGGCTCCCAGCGCTCAAAAATACACCGTGCAAAAGGACAACGAACTCTACCCAGCGACAAGGACAGGGGATCACTACACACAAAAGACCAGCTAATGACACCCATCAACCACAGGGACAGATAATCTCTTCTCCTTAGCACAACAATACACCCACAACAATACACACTAATCACCCATCTACAGAAAAAGACAAAAGCCTATCTCACAGCCATAAATACTGCACTCCCTGGCCAACTACACCAGAGCATAGAGTGTTGTCCTCTGAAGATGCCGGCCACAGAGACTGGCGAAACATTAGGAAGAACAACCTTTAGAACACAGCCAAAGACCCCGAAAACCCCACAACAACCAATATTCAGACCGGACTCCTGATTTGTCAGCTTTAGCACTTTTCATTCACAGTGATGGCACTCCACCATCAAGTACATGATTCACACACACCATACTCCAAGGCCACTCTCCCCACTTTCATGGGACTGTTGTTAGTATCTTAAATGACTTCTTAATGATACTTTGTATGGAAAGACATAGTACATATTGGTGTCTCTTCAGGCAGCAAACCTTTCAAAGCCAGAAATAGAAACCAGGAACAACCAAATGAAAAAAAGGGGGGTGTCATCAATTATTTTCATTAAATAGGTTGGCTGTTTTATTACATCCTCTATATCACATATAGTGGAAGCCTTTCAGTCCTGATAGCTGAAATGCACTGTATGCAATGTGGCAGAGAAGTCAGAATCAAAGATAAATATAATCAGAAATGGCGAAGATCCAGCAGACCTTTCTCATATTTTCTCAGTGGCTGCAGACTAGTACAAATTAAGACAGAGTGTACCTCTCCAGGGACTCTTAAGAGATAAGCAACAAGGAAGATGCTCCAAGGACAATTTGTGTAACTGCAAAGTGGACAGTTATTACTGCATAGGTTTTTGTATTTTTTCAGTGTTCTCCCAATTTTGTCATTCGAGCATAGTTTTGCTCTTGGTGCAAGTGTATCAGACGTAAAAGCACTTACATATAAACCCTGGCCAAGCTGAACTTGCTGGCTTTGAAATTTTCATTTCTCCACTTACATAATTATCTTAGTCATCAATGTAATTTAGCCCTTGAATCTCATCTAGATCCACAACTGCAAAATTGAAGGTCAGTGTAGTGTAGTGGATAGTGATAGACTAGGACTCATGAGACCTAGATTTATAATCCCCACTTGGCCATGGAAGCATGTTCTCAGAAAAAGGGAGAAATGAGTCCTCATATAGCTTGCATAGCTTGAAAAGCTTATCAAGGTCATCATAAATCAGATGTGACCTGATGACACATAACACACAAAAGCCAAATCCCACTGTATGTTGAGACTATCGTGATCAGCAGTGTGACCCCTGGTTGGACAATACAAAAACTTTTTACCTTTTCTAGTAGGTGTGATATCTGATCCTCAAGCTTTTTTATTCTCAAGTCATCGCTGAATTTAATTCTTTCTGGCTCAGAAGAGGAAATGACCTCAGTGGATGAGCTAGTAACAGGCCACATTGGTGTATTTCTGCGCTGGCGAAACTGAGCCAGCACTTGATCAATACGGGGTGTTAGGACTGGCCAATTAATATGGACCTATTAAAAGAAAAGAATATGTAGTATTGTTTTAAAATATGCTACTTTCAGAACAATAACAGACGGGGATCATAGTACCTCTTCTTCATCTTCTGGAGAACTGGATGAAGTCAAGCAGTCCAAAAGATCTTCTAGGCACTTCAAATCTGATAAGTTTGCTTCCACCGAGTTCACTGGCTCCCCAAATATATTCCTTCCATCTAGGATGGTTAGCTGGGGTAAGACCTGAAGGAGGATCTCTCTGTAGCCTCAAAACAATAGAGAAAACATGAATTAGTGTGTTTCATTCTCAAGACTTCTGAAAATCTTGCAAGTTTATTCTGCAGAAAGTGGAATGAAATACAGATAAAAATCTATTCTATGATCTGAAAAACAGTGTTTATTCAAATATACGTTTTCTTCAGACCTTCTCCTGGTCCACTTGACTTCAAATGCCAGCCCAAGGATGAGAATCATGCAGCCCATGTGTTCTTCCCTTAACTGAGCCACTGCCATATTTAAAAGTGGGTATTTAGAAAATTTAAAAATGGAGAAATGCCCTTCCTCAAAATTTGTGTTGCCTTGTGCGTTTTTTACTTCCTGCATCCCCAAAAGAGGGTGTGCAAAACTATAACTGCACTTCCAGTTTCATGGTGAAGGAGGAGTGGAGCAGCTTGTAGTAGATACAGAAAACTGAAAGATGGCCCACTTGAGTAACCCACAACCATATCCCAGATCTTACCTATTTTGGCACACACTGGATTACTTTTTCCATTCTTCTCTAAAGACAGGTTGGTCAGGTGTTGCAACCCAGCCAGGCACTGGAGTAAATGATTAAGATCGCTTATACAATTGCTGTGGAGTTCAATGTGACTGACTTTGCAATTTGATCCACGAAGATGTAGAAGTCCTATAAAAATTAGGTGGAAAATGTGTCAAATAATATTAAGACGCAAATAGTGCACTGTTAAATGCAGTTGAGTTAAAGTAGTAAGAGAATCAAGTATACTTCCTTTTTCTTTGTAAAACATCCAGGATTTACTGTACTGGCAAACAAGTAAAAGTACTGCATTTTGTATGGTTTAGAACTTAAATATTATCATGTGCTGTTGATATAGTAGGGCATTCGAACAAAATTACAAAGCTGTCAGAAGTGGAAGCACTACACCTGCCCTGTTCAATAAAGCCTTATTTGCTGGGACTGCTAGCCATGCCTGCTGTCCTGGTACATCATACAGCCTTTTTCTGGGGAAAGGCTGACTGACCATAAGGTCTACTTGGGAGTGGGTGCAAGACCCCTCTGGGTCTTAACTCCATTACTCTCTATTAGAGACGGGTATGAACTTCAGTTCAGTGTCTGCAGAAGTGCTCCACAGGCACTGTGCACTTCTCTCTCCTGCCTCCTCTGTGCACTTCTCCATTTCCCAAGCAAAGCATGCTTCCCTCTTCTGACTTCTCTGACAGCTGCCCACTCAGATGAGGCAGGGCAGAGAAGCTCACAGCACTGCCTTTGAGAGGGCAGATGTGTTGAGTAGGCAAGCTCACTTTGGCCAGGGAATGGGAAAGTGTGCAGAGGAGATGGGAGGGGGAGCACACAGCACCTTCAGAACACCTGTGTGGGTGCTGCACTGCCAAGCTGCGATTCATGCCCTCTCTACACCTTATTTTAGCTTCAAACAGTGGTGACTGCAAACTTTGAGCTGGTTATGGAGTCTGAAATCTATTTATTTGGCTTTTATACCACCCATCTAGATGAATCTACTCTAGCAGCTGAAGGTAGTTTCAAATGAGTTTTAAGAAAGTAAACAACTACAGGGACACATTCTTATGGTTCCCTCCTTACAAAAGCAAAATATCATGTGTCTTAAAGATACATTTCAGTCTCATTGTCTCGGGATTTATGGCTCAGAGGAAAAGACATACACTCTCCTTTATTATTATAAAAAATATTTTTAAGAGTTCCTACTCAGAAGCAAGTATGAAAGTCCTATTCAGGGCCCAAATTCTCCAATGAAGCAACCAGAACATATTTCAATGGGTGATGTGTATTTAAAGTTATTGGACTGTTTTGCAATATAACTTTTAATAAATCAAGTAACACAGACCTTTTAATCAATCTGATCCTTCCCCCCCCCTTCATAATATAATATAGCACATGGTTGGAAAGGAACTAAACTTAAGCTTCAGGTGCAAGCAAATACAGTGGTGCCTCGCATAACGGGCGCCCTGTTTAATGACGAATCCGCATAGCGACAATGCTTTTGCGATCGCTTTTGCAATCGCATAACGATGTTTCCTATGGAGGAAATCGCTTTCCGATGATTGGTAAGCTGTTTCGCTTACCGATTTTCGCATAGCCATGATTTTTCCCCAGCTGATCAGCGGTTCCAAAATGGCTGCCGGGTAAAACAGGGATGGATTCCTCGTTTACCGGGCAGCTAAAATAGCCGCCGTATGGAGGATTTTCGCTTAAAAGGTACGTTTTAAGCCCATAGGGACGCATTGAAGGGATTTCAATGCATTCCTATGGGCTTTTTAATTTCGCATAGCGACAAATCCACATAGCGACGATTTTTGCTGCATGGATTATCGTCGCTATGCGGGGCACCACTGTATATTTGTTAGAAGTTTCTGAACAACACTGTGATGTTACCCAGGCTTATCAAGAAATTAGTAAGACATTGTTTCTGAATAGACCTAAATTGGATGTAGCTGAGAACAGGTTACCTGAAAGGTCATGTATGCGGTTGTAAGACAAATTCAGTTTAGTTAAGCTAAAGAGCTTTTCCAATCCTGGGGAAAGAAAAAGCAAGGATTTACAAACTACATAAGACAGAGGGTGAGGGTTTTTTAAAAGACCATATGTGAGGTGCAAAAAAAAATGTTGGGAGTTAACAATGCTTCTGTTCAGGGCTCCACTTACACCACACCACTCCTGCTCTCGTCCTCTTCAGTTTTCTTCCCAATTACTCTCACCCCACAATGGTTGAACATACTCCATCCTCCTTCTTCTGGAAGCTTCCCCATCCCCCACCCTAAATCTTAGTTCCTGCAGCCACATCTCTCTTGTGTGGATGAGGACTAGCACAAGAACTAACACTGCTATTAGTACAGTTGAGAGTGTGAAAGATGTGACTTTCCAGATGCGCCACTGAAGGTTAATGGGAGTGGAAGCCCAACATCTGGAGAGTCACATTCTCCACTTTTGGTATACATTTATCTATTTAAAATATTTTTACCTCACTTTTCTCCTTAGAAGGACCCAAGTCGACTATAGAATGAGATAAAATTCCAGCAGTCACATGAGCCAGCTGTTTTTGGCTAGCCTTTGTACCCACAAAAACAAGACACTCTACCCATCCCATGATTGTTCCTCCAATTTTATAACCCATTAGGACAGAAAGGCCACACCCATCCCATTTTCAGGCTCAACTTGGCAACAGGAAAAAGCTTATTGCTGCAATGAGCTACCAGGAAGGATGCTGTGAACATTCGGACAGCCCAGTATCAAAAGGGAATGGCCTAACCTTCCTATACAGCTTGCTTTCCTTATAGTAGTTCTTCATGTTCAAGTATATCACAATCACCACTACCAGTTGAGTTGAAGTTCCTGAGTTATAATGAGGGGAAAAAATTGGACAAACATCATAGCGAACAGACTTGGGGATACCTGAGTAATTACAATTCTTAAGCAAACTTTGCCAAATCCTGCTTCTTTTGCAGCCCCCACATGGATGAGATGCTCTATAACCATGTGGCATCGAGGTGTTGGGAAAAATCACTTCTGCCCCCCTTCAGCAAGAATCCACCACCAAATCTCAATCTCTTCCACAAATGGAATGAGATCTTCAACTTGCAGAAGGAAAAGCACAATTTTAACCCACAAAATGCAACGCTCACTCATGCACCAGACTGACAGTACAACCAAAAACTAACCTTCAACTTTTGTTATCAAGTTACAAGCCAGGTTTAAGGTGCGCAAGTTGGCAAGGGAACTGAGCCCTTCAATGGAAGCTATGTGGTTTGATGAGAGATCCAGGTGCTGCAGGTTAGACAGGTGGCTGAGCCCTTCAATTCTGGAGATTTGGTTACAGTGCAAGTTAAGGGTGTGAAGCTCTGAACTTAAAGGTAATTCTCCTAAACTGCAAATGAAAACGTTACAGTTTTAATTTAAAAACCTGAAACATAAGAAACAACGCCACAGCGCATATGAAGGATTCAAACACAGTACTGTAATCTTTATGTCAGCTATGCAGATAGGTGAGTGTTTTTATTATTCTGAGAGTTAAGCAGCTTTTTAAAAATCCAGTTTCTATGACTTGGAATTGCCTAGGTACAGTACAGTAATTAAACTCCTTACTATGACATGTTTAAAGACAGAGTACAACTGTTTAACAATGAGAACCAGTGTAGTATATAGTTAGCATTCTGTTCAGGCTGGGAGACCCAGGTTCGAATCCTTATTCAGCTGTCAAGGCACACCAGCTGATCCTAGACCAGTTCTCTCCCAGACCTACATCCCTGAATTGCTGTGAAAATTAAATGGGTGACTCTTATCAGTAACTTTCCTGTAAGGCTCTCACAGTGGACCACGAGTTTTTCCTCCATACATACACATTCACTTTGGCAGTGGTGGTGATTGGCCCATGGTTTATCAGTTGACAGGAGATTTAAATCCTGATCTAGTCTGGGAAAGGCAAATCTGTGGGAGCCTGAGGCCTATTTCCTACCCCTGTGGTCCTCTGGGGCATGGTTGGACTGCTGAAAAATGGAAGAAAAGGCACTTACCCTGGTGTTCACGATGTCTAGAAAGAGAGAACACAGATTATGAAAAGTTGAAACACCCAATATTACAGGGTTGCTGATGAACTGGTTTTACCAAGGAATGGCTCTGTCTCTCTTTTGAGCTTTTTACACTCTACACGCAGCTTTGGCTGGATTTGGGGGGGGGAGGTTCTGGCATGGGATACATAATATCTTCTATGGAGGGTCTGGCTTTGTAAAAGGTGGGGTCTCCACTTTTGTTTTGTTTTTGCATGGTATTTTATTTTGCAAGGTGACTGTACTCAAGAACCTTTCTATAGGTTCCGAGGAAGCAGTCCTTACTATCTAAAAGAGATGCAAATTCAACTACACACAAACACCTACATGCGTTCATACAGTATATGTATGTACCACATCACTCTCAACAAAAATTGCAATATTGTTGTTACTGTAACACCACGACTTCTTCGAAAAGGTCTATGTGCATGCATATACAGTATATACTTTCTCTTTTTTTACATATATTAAAATTAAATAATTCAGTTAAGGCAGAAGAGGGCTTGAGAAATACTCTAATGCATCAATAAATTACATAATCTTCTTGGATCCAGGGGGGAAACTTGCATAAAATGCTGCTTTGATATTTTGATATCCCGACTACACAGACCCTAACGCTTGCATTCCTTTTGTCAATTCAGAGGCGATGAGCAAGCCCTTGCTGGAACCCATCGAGGAATGGCTGTCTTCTCGGCAGCTCCTCACCTTTTGATGCCCTTGTCCATCAGACTGAGCTCCCCCGAAACTACGCCGGGCGCTGCCATGCCTTTCCCGTTGCCGAACTGCCCGCTACGCCTAACAGCCGCCACGCTTGCCGCCCTCCGCTTTAAACCCCTCCTACTTCCCCGTGCTCGCGACGGTCGGGCAAACGGCGTCGCAAGGCATGACGGGAGAAGGAGGGACCCGCTTTCATTTTTTTTGCGACCCAGGAGAGAGACGACGTCGTCAAGGCTACGGAACCCCCGGGACACTCAAGGAGGCGCTTATCGCCCGAGTGGCTCATAGATTTTAGTTCGGCTTCATGGCGGGAATTAATTGTCTCTTTAGAAATCGGGGGTGGGGGGTGGGGACACGGAATAGGCTTTAACCCCAGCCGTGATTGTACAGAAATCCACATAAATAGAAAATCGGGTATGAGTGAAGAGAGGAGTCCTTGTTCTTGTAAGCAAAGACCAGAAGAATCTGTCTTTGGGGTTCTTGTAAACAGTTGAAGAAATTGCCCAGCCGATGCGATTAGAATCACCTCGGAATTGGGCGGAATGAACAACAGTGGAATCATATCCATGCAATGAAAGTCAGAATACAGTTAGTCCTAAACAGCATCCATAAAATGGAGAGTATAATATGCGACAAGCACTTGCAGTTGGTTTTGAAGATGCATAATGTGCGGTGCTGTATATGTTTGATTCTACTGTATAGCATGGAAGAATGGACTAACAGGCTCCTAGGGGGAAATATATACAGTACTGTATATCAGTGGTTCTTAACCTTTGTAGCATGGAAGAATGGACTAACAGGCTCCTAGGGGAAAATATATACTGTATATAAAAGAATTTAAAATGCACGTGGCTTCGGAACTGGATTGTGGGGTGCCTCATCCCCAAATCTGAGGGGTGCACCCCTGCCCGGGTTACAAGCTATTACTAGTTGCAGTCCAAAACTCCTGAGTAACTCAAGGTTAAGAACCAGTGCTGTATATAAAAGAATTTAGAACGCATGTGGCTTCGGAACTGGAGTGTGGGGTGCCTCATCCCCAAATCTGAAGGGGGCACCCCTGCCCGGGTTACAAGCTATTACTGTACTGATTTGGAATGTGGTTTATGATGGTCTCCAGTGTGGTTTTTGGCTTGAGATGGTGACCGATATGAAAATGTATTAGAGCAAATGAGTTAAGACCAGGAAAGTGTAGAACATCTGAAACTCAGAAAGCTAGAAAGCTTGTGTAATGAGAAAAAGTACCAACTGATCATTCAAGGTAAAAGAAGAAGAAATATTGAAAGGAGAATAACTTATCAGCTGATACTTAGAGTGGTCCTATCCAGAGTCAGAATATACACAACAATGTCTAAAATCCTGTAGGGAAAGAGCAAAGAAGAATGCAACAATAGGCTGTTGATCTAATAAATATATAAACAAACAAATAAAATCTTTTTGTGTAATGTGAACCAGGAAATTCATCACTCAGCCCAATGGTTGCCAACCTTGGGTAGTCCGGATGTTCTTGGTCTGCGACTTCACCACTAATTTGGTTACCCAAGACTGGGAACTACTGCTCCAACCTTTACTTCGTCAAACAATGCAAGGCAGGTGTGCACCACAGAAGCAGTATAGAGGCGATCTTAATTTTTCCACTATAATGCTTGCCCCACATGTTGTTGAATGTCATGTACAATATATATTTTTCATCTCTGTGAACTTTGGATATTTTCTTTGCAAATACTAGCTAGGAGCCATTTAGAGACCATGTTGTTCTGCACCATCAAATTGCTTCTTGCTTATGGTGAACCTATAAATAAGTGGCTTCTAAAACTGAAAAACAAAAGTGTCCAAGTAGAACTGCAGTTGAATATTAAGAAGACAAAAAAATGATTACAGAAGAACTGCACAACTTTAATGTTGTAATGAGGAAATTGAAACGGTTAAGAATTTTGTATACCTTAGTTCAGTCATCAACCCAAATGGATATTACAGTCAAGAAATTAGAAGAAGACTTAAGACTCGGGAGGGCAGCAGTGCAGGAACTAGAAGAGATAATCAAATATAAGGAGAAGTCCACCAAAGAAATGGAATTGTCCCCAAAAAGCTCATATTAAAATATAGCAGCACTGGATAGCTCAGTGGTTTATACAATAAACAGCCATAAACGATTGGAGGGCACTGAAGAGAATGCTGGTGGGCTTCTGCACTTGTCCTCTTTGAGCCATTTGGGGCAGCTTCAGCCAGGCTAGGATGTCCAAAAGTAAGACAGCATTGGGGGAAAAAAGGGAAGAAAATGCTCCAATTCAACTTTCCAGCATAGTCGCAACCTTACACTCATTCATTCTTTTGCATCAGCTTCATTTGCCTATGTGTTAAATTTCTCATCATTAGTAATAATTATTTATTTTCATAAAAATAGAAAGTGGTATATCTACCACTTTCAAGGAAAATGTGTAACCTGTATGGTAAAACAGACATGCAAATATTTCTCTCTCCGGAAAATGAACATTTTCAGTTAAATCATTAATCTGAAGGGCACACAGTCTTCCAAAGTACAGTGCCATCTAAGCTGGCCCTTAATTCATTGGAATCTGTCTGGAAAGCAGTTTGGATTCCAGATTCCTGACTTTTCTTATTCAAATCTTTATAAGGTTATTGCTACACAGAATTGCATTTAACCTGTTTATGTGATTCCTGATATACCTGGGACTGATTGGCCTTGGCTGAATGCCGATAACCAACTTCCAGAGTTTGGAAAAGTTCCTTTTTCAGTCTACAGTTCCAGGAATCCTCCAGCTACCATGATCGCTTGTCCTGGCTATCATGGCTGGGGGACTCTGGCAGCTATACTGTCTTTTTCCAGCATCTGCCCACATAGTTAATGTGGAAAGTCATGTTCTGCAATTTTAGCACACTTTACACTCAATGGAGGGAAACAACATGGCCAGGCAAATCCATGACAGAACATTTCCCCACATGGAGAGCTTTTCCGCATGTAGAGGCCTGGAGTGCTGGAATGTTATCAGTGTTGAGAAAGCGATGGGTAAAATGCTAAGATACCTAATGACAGAGGGTGTGTGATCACCCTAGGCACTTAAATCACTTTTTCCTGCCACCATCAAGCTCCCTTCCATTTCCTGCAACCACTACAAATAGTTGATGCTAGGCTTCACCACTGCCTGCCACATCATCTGCTACTGTTTTCTGGCCCATCTAAGCATCCTAGATTTGAGTCCTATAATCTAGCCATAACAGTGACCCTGCTGTTGGCATAAACATATAATTCTCTAAAATAGAATATTGAAAGGTGTGGCTTCCTCCCTTTTTTATTTCCTATGCTGTCTTACTTTTGGACATCCTGGCCTGGCTAAAGATACTTCAGGCAGAGGAACAACAGGAATGAAACAAAAGACTTTGGGGTACATATGTAAGTTTCAGCCCTCTTTAGAACTAGCACCCTAGCTGGGTGATGAAAAGAGATAGCTTTTTAAATACTTCTTTTCTATTTTAATTTTTTTTTGTAATAAATTATGTTTTGGGTCACAATTCTGTTAGTGTTTGAATAAGTTGCCACAACTAATTGCAGCTAGCTGATAAGATGCCAAGGTGCATTTTGATTGTGTAGTCAGCTGCATGACTAGGTACATGAATGAGATGTACCCTGGCACTTCATCAGTTAATTGCAATTGACAGCTATGTAAATCTTATGTGAACACTAATAGAATTCTGGATTTTGTGTATGATTGGTGTTTTGTTAGTTTAATTGACGTTTACCCTATTCTTATGCCCATGTTTTAGGAAAGAACCTACCTAGATTTCCTAGCACCATTCTTTTTTTAAATGAGCTTCATCCCCAAATTGATGCCAACAGATTTCACAAATAGCCAACAGTCCTAGAATATTGGCTGAGAGTAACAGGATGTCCAGTGTCTTTTAAACTTTTTTATTATGACTTTTGTTTTGAGAGCATTCGAGAAGATCCAAGAGTAAAGGTCCAGCAAGACCTGGAGGAACACATGTTGTCCACTCTTGCCCTGAAAGCTAGAATTTGTATTGTGTTGTATTTTTGCACTACGATTTCAAACATTCTTCGGACATCATAAAGCCTGGGAGATCTTAAGAGTTGTAAGCCAAAAGTTAACTTGTCTAAGCTCTGTAAAAGCTTGCTGACAGCAGTTTGGAAAAATAAGCACTGCTAAGACTTTAAACAGTTCATGAAGCCGAAATAAACATTCAGACTGACAGCACAATCCTATACACATCTAAGAATTATACATTTAATAGGGTAGCTCTCAGAAGAATGTGGGGCCTTAATGGGCATGGATGGAATGTTTTATTCCTGTCAAAGTACATTTCAGGTCAGAATCCTGTTGCCCTACATGAACCCATGAAGGCAATTGTACAAGGCAAGGTGCCTAGTCTTTTCTGGGTCAATTACTGATTGCAAAGCTGCTCTCGTGACCAGACTTGTAAATGAAAACTCAGGAAACAAGGAAATTGTGCAGTTGCCTTGTGTGTGTGGTATTTTTTTTTCTTCAATTGGATTTAGACTTGAGGGTTTAACAGCACACTCTACAGATGCCTACACAAAAGCAAATCTCCATAGCATTCAGTTTGGCTTTTTCACAGATACACACTTGCCAAGGAGTAACTTCCACTGAATTATGATTTCAAACATTCTTCAGATATCATGTGACCATAAAGCCTGGGAGATCTTGAGAGTTGTAAGCCAAAAGTTAACTTGTCTAAGCTCTGTAAAAGCTTGCTGACAGCAGTTTGGAAAAATAAGCACTGCTAAGACTTTAAACAGTTCATGAAGCCGAAATAAACATTCAGACTGACAGCACAATCCTATACACATTTAAGAATTATGCATTTAATAGGGTAGCTCTCAGAAGAATGTGGGGCCTTAATGGCCATGGATGGAATATTTTATTCCTGTCAAAGTACATTTCAGGCCAGAATCCTGTTGCCCTACATGAACCCATAAAGGCAATTGTACAAAGCAAGGTGCCTAGTCTTTTCTGGGTCAATTACTGATTGCAAAGCTGCTCTCGTGACCAGACTTGTAAATGAAAACTCAGGAAACAAGGAAATTGTGCAGTTGCCTTGTGTGTGTGGTATTTTTTTTTCTTCAATTGGATTTAGACTTGAGGGTTTAACAGCACACTCTACAGATGCCTACACAAAAGCAAATCTCCATAGCATTCAGTTTGGCTTTTTCACA